GGAGGATTGTGATTGCTCACATGCTGGATGACTTGTTTGTGTAGACTTTTCTGATGCACACCAAAAGTTCCCTACTCCTGCTTTTCTGTATTAGTGTTTGAAACAATAATACAGTAAAGTACACCAAGAAACCCTTTGTGAGCACCAACTGGGCATCTGCATGGACTAATTAATGTATAAACCTTTAAAGTTCTATAGAAATCTCTTCCCCATAATGGGAGTTGGTGCTCCACGTAAGCTTCTTGGGTGGCATGGTGGCCCTAAGGCATGTGCATTTAGCTCTATTTTGTGAGATAAGAGAAGGAACGTTTGCTTCATCTCTTACCTGAAATTGGAATCATTTTTTTACGATGCCGCTTCAGCACAGGATTTATTATAGTACATGAGATAGTGTCAGAAGAACTATCTACTATCAGGATTGTACTGTTGATTTGATAGAACCCTGCCACATCTTTCAGGATTCTTGTTTTAGCCATAGCAGTGATGTTTTGTCTTGTGCTGTCAGTCCAAAGTACTAGAGGGCATGGGTACCACCCTTGGGATGTGCATCTCAGAGTGGCTGAATTATTCTGCTGCTGTTCTATAGTTAGGCGCGGTGCAGATCCAAAACCTATAATGAAAAACAATTTTAGAAAATGTTAAACAAGCTGAAGAACGAACTCATACATCAAAGTGTGCTAATGATCACTAGTATCATTACAGTCTCCATCTACACTGAACTATAATCTTGTATTTCCAAATAACTTGCATTCAGAGAAATTTACACCCCAAACACTTCTCTAAACACTTCACAAACTGATCCCAAACTGTACACAGACATGATGTCATTGTATGTATGTGACAGCTTTATTTCTGGGATGGCAGTAGGTCAAACAATAGTTTTTCAGAAAAAGGGAGTGTCACAGGACTTTATGGAACTATACTTACAAATATGAATATGTGTAACTGGAACATGCTTTGTGCTAAATACTTTGTGCACAGTATCTTTTGAAAAGTTACAATCTACTGAATTCAGTAGATATTCCCCAGTATCTTTTGAAAAGTTACAATCTACTGAATTTTGTAAATAATAGAGATTGCCTATCCCCCAGAACTGGAAGGGACCTTGAAAGGTCATTGAGTCCCATCCCCTGCCTTCTCAGCAGGACCAAGTAACCTCCCAGATGAATTTTTGTCCCAAATGGCTTCTACAAGGATTGAGCTCATAACCTTAGGTTTAGCAGCCTACTGCTCAAACCACTGAGCTATCCATCCCTCCCCACATATATATTCCCATTCTGTATGTGTGAAAGTTACTGTAGCTTCCTACATGGAGTTCTTTGCATTTGTACTTATCAAACCTCATCCTATTTACCTGAGACCATTTCTCTAGTTTGTCCAGATCATTTTGAATTTGGACCCTATCCTCCAAAGCAGTTGCAACCCTTCCCAGCTTGGTATCATCTGCAAACTTAGTAAGTGTACTCCCCATGCCATCATTTAATTAATTGACGAATGTATTGAACAAAACTGATCCCAAGACAGGCCCCTGCAGAACCCCTCTTGTTATGCCCTTCCAGCAGGATTATGAACCATCAATAAACTACTTTGAGTAGTTCACTGCCAGCAACTCTTCTGTAGTTGACATCTCTATGCTTACCTACAACAGTCACCTGGGTAACAACTTCTTGATAGACACCATCGCCTGTCACTGCACACACATACCGTCCTGTGTCTTCTATGTGCACATGAAAGAATTTCACCCTAACAACTCCATTCTTATACCATCCTTTGGGGGCACCGTTCCTGTGCTGGTGCCATTCCCTGCTCAGCTCGGCCCCATTTGCTGTGCTATTGTAAACATATAATGTCATATTTTTGCTCCTTTCCCATTTATACCAATGCACTTGACAGTTAGCGGGGACCTGGCCTATGAGGTGGCAGGACAACATCAGACCTTGCCCAACCAAGGGAACCAAAGGATCAACATGTACAGTGAGGGAGAAATCACCTGCAAGAAAGAAAACAAATCATGATCACAGATTTTCTTCAAAAGATTGACTTTGATGTAGAAAGAAAAAAAAAATACAACGAGTGAGAGACAATAGCAGGGTTATGTTTCATGGTAGAATCTCTCCCTATCTAAGCTAGTTACCCCCTCAGAAAGGGGAGTGTTTGAGGTCCTCACTGCTAGCTCAGCTATGCACAGATTTCCGCAAAAGGTGGTGCAGACTGAACTTCTCATGGGTGGGTGCAGGATGCACACTCCCTCCAGGAACAAAAGGAACTTGACCATCACCAACCGTATTACAATGTGCTGTCCTATTAGTGGCTGGCCAGCATGGGATGGTGAACAGCTGAGCTAAGGCTAGATCTGGCAGAATTTGATTTTTTTAAAATAGTGTTGATGGATAATATCACAGTTTATTTTAATTATTTTTTTTCTGTTTTCATTTGTTTGTGCCCCGTGGTGCAGTTTGGGTTTATGCAGGGCTCATCTCATGGCCCATGGGTGGGGCCTTTTAAACATGGCCTCCACTGGGAACATGTTTCACAATAGCGAGGCTTCTCCCTGGTGGGATGAACACTGAAAGACACAAGCAGACGGGCTGGCTGGAACAGAGGGGCACGGGGTGTCGGCATTTCTGGCCCCCAGGGAGGAGGTGCCAGGAGCACCTGGGCATTGTGGGAAGTGCTGGCTGCTTAGCCTTGTGCACAGAGCATGAGAGGTACTGAGTGGCTCACAATGGCCATGTTTGGTCTGGTGTCATGGCTTAAGGCTTAATCTTTGTATTCCTGCCCATCAGTGTGATAGATTCTATTTGCATATATTAGCATATATATTCACATCATGTTTCACGATGGCGAGGTTTCTCCCTGGTGGGCTGAGCACTGAAAGACGTAAGTGGACGGGCTGGCTGGAACAGAGGGGTACAGGGTGCCGGCATTTCTAGCCCCCAAGGAGGAGGTGCCAGGAGCACCTGGGCATTGTGGGAAGTGCTGGCTGCTTAGCCTTGTGCACAGAGCATGAGAGGTACTGAGTGGCTCACAATGGCCATGTTTGGTCTGGTGTCATGGCTTAAGGCTTAATCTTTGTATTCCTGCCCATCAGTGTGATAGATTCTATTTGCATATATTAGCATATATATTCACATGTATTTGCAACCACAGTTAAGTTGCAGCCTTTGGCATGTGCTGTGAGTATCATGGTGGCTCCCGGGGCTTCCAAAGTTGACTTATTTAAATAGTTCATTATTTATTCATTTATTTATTACATTTTCCCAGGTGCAGGAAAAAATAGAGAGCACACAATGGGGGCAGGCAGCAGGCTTGAGGGTGGAAGGGGCAAGGCTAAAAGCAGTCAACCTTTAACGCCACCCAAACCTCAATGCGCCTTTCCCAGCTCTCACAGATGCAAGGAGCTGTGCTCTGGCACTCCTGCTGCAATTCGAAGAGGCCTGGTGCTCCAGGCCCTTTGAATCTCCAGGCCCCAGGGCAATTATTCTCTTTCTCCCCTCTGTTGGCAGGCCTAGGGACAGGTCAGGCTATTATTTAATGATGGTAGATTCTGGGATTCAAAAAGTTAAAGCTTATAAGCATGAAAACACAATCTCAATAGATTATATCAAAAGTTTAGCGTGAATTCAAACTCTAATTTTTCCTTTGTATCTCTTGAGTATTTAGCAACAATGGAAATATGTTTGATCAGTTTGTGTACATACAGTGATATTGGCATTAAACAACACATACTGATACAAATCTGAACTTAGTTATTGCCCTGCTTCCTTCCCAACAATTATGAATAGCTTACACCTCTGTAAGAAGTAGCAGGGAGAAATTTCTCAGTGCAGGAAAAGCAATTATACCATGTGTGTGTGTGTGTGTGAGAGAGAGAGAGAGAGAGAGAGAGACTGGGGCTGTGTCTAGACTACAATTCTCTGTCGACAGAGAGATGTAGGTTAGACACATTAAAATTGCTAATGTAGCGGGTATGTAAATATCCTGTACTTCATTAGCATAAACATGGCCACCGCTTTTTTTTGGAAAAAAAACCCCAGAGGCCTGGTGCTCCAGGCCCTTTGAATCTCCAGACCCCAGGGCAATTATTTTCTTTCTCCCCACTGTTTGCAGGCCTAGGGACAGGTCAGGCTATTATTTTCAAAAGATTCTTTATCCCTCATACAATGAGGTTTATAGGATCTTTTGGAAAAAGGTTTATTTTTTGAAAGATTCACTTCTAGACTGCTGTTTTTTTCCTAAAAATCTTCATTTTGAAAAAAAGCGGCAGCCATGCTTATGCTAATGAAGCATGGGATATTTAAATCTCCACTTCATTAGCAGTTTTGATGTGCCTAATCTACATCTTTCTGTCGACAGAGAGGTGTAGTCTAGACACAGCAGAGAGACAGAGAGAAAGAGAGTGAGTAGAGGTTTTCTTACACAGGATTAGAGAAGCACCAATGGATCTATTTATTTTCTGATCAGTAGGCAGGAAAAATGGTGTTCTTACCCCAAAACCATTTCCCGATGATAAACAGACATGGAAATATCGCAAGTCTAGCAGCTGATTTGATCCACACAAGCATTGTGAAGTGATTGCAATATCATCCATCCAATGCTCTAGCAACAGAAACAGAAAATACCACAAACTGTAGCATGAGGTGTACACACAATTAGAGCTTGTCAGAAATCTTTGTCTACAATAGAGCTGCATTAGAAAATGCCGATTTGTTAAAACCAAAACATTTCACAGAAATATCATACCTTACCAGTTTCAGAAGAGGCTGAGCTTCATGGATCCATGGCTCTGGGTTGGCATTGCCATGTGATGGCCCCAAAGCCTGTGACCTAGGGCCATCAGGATTTTCTGGTTCCCAACTCTGCAGCCAAGGATTTGCCAAACTTTACCAGACTCCCTATGAAGCCCATGGAGACTTCAGGAGATGAGAGCAGCCAGCTGCTCTAATTCATAGTGGGAAAATTGGATCAAAGCCATTTGACTTTTACAAAAAAACCAAGTTTTTCAGATTTTTTTTATGTGAGAAATTTCAAACATTCCAGTTATGTTTCTGAATCAAAATTAAGACTTTTTTCAACATTTCAGAATTTCCAGTACAATGGAAATGTTGAGTTTTAGCCTCCTCTGTACAAAACTGCATTCATTTTACAGACCCACTTCTGTTTTCTGGAACAGTAAAATGCTAAGCAAAAATTATCTTTTGTGGAAGCAGATTATGGGAAAATAAGACCATTCATTTACTATTTAGTTAAACCTGGACACTTCTATCTGTCCAAGACCAAAAGCAGCCCAAGTAATGGGTGACATAAACTCTGCACCAGTCAGTGATTCTTCTGGGCTATCCTGACTATCCCAACCAAGTTTCTAAAAGAAAAACATTCCCATGAAAAAGTTGGAAAGCACATTAATAGTAATCTGTTCCTTTGAGGCACAGTACTTATGTAGATATGACATTATGCTCCCCCAAATGGTCTTTTTAGATTTCAGTTGGCGAATTTGAGCTTATTCTTTTACCATTTCTGTTCAGATATTATAAAGGAATTTAGTTTCCATGGATCTCAAATGAGTCACTGAATCTTGATTTTGTCAATGGGTGCTCCATCCATGGCCCAGCTCCCACTCATCCTCTTCTCCATGATCGCAGCCCTACCCTGCCTCTTCCTACTATGCTCTGCCCCCTGTCTGAGACTTCTCCTGCCTTCCTATCACTTGCTTCTCTCCCAGGGCTGTCCCAACCAATAGGGAAAACACACAACCAAGTAGGGCACCATGAAATTTGGGGTACCATGGATTATGGGCTTTAGCAGCCCCCAGCCCCATTCTTCAGCCACTGGCCCCAGCTTAGCACTGGTCCAGCTGTCCTCCATCACATCTCCTGGCTGCCTGCTCCCAGCTCAGTGCTGGTCCAGCCACCATCAGCCCCATCCCCTGGCTGCCTGTCCCCTGCTCTGTACCAGTCTGACCACCACCTGCTTCACCCCTAGCTGTCTCCCAATGCTCAGAGCCCAGCTCTTACCCATCAGGTGGAAGGGAAAACCTTTGTGGGCTAGAGTACTAAGCATGGGGCTAGAGAGAAGCGGCACTTTCACTTTAAAAGCACCACTTCTTTCTGGCTGGCTGCAAGGCACCCGCAGCTCCTCAGCCCACACTTTCCTCCTGGCCCTGCTGCTGGTTGCCAATTCTCCCAGACTGCACATCACTACAGTAAATGACACCTGTTCCATCTGGTTCAAGAGAGTTTGCAACCTCTTTCCTCACTGCTTCAGCCCCTCCTTGGGGGGGGGGGGGGGGGGGGGAGGGGGGTTGGAGACCCTGTCCTCTCCACTCCAAAGGCCCCCCCTGCTCACCACTCTCTCCTGTCTGCTGTTGCTTCCAAGTACTTCCTACCTGTCACTTGCTCCTTTTTTCTGCCTCCTGGCAGTGGCCTCAGGGGAAGGGGGGAAAAGGGGGGAGGAAGGAAAGAGACCATAGTCTGGACAGGGTCACTGTCCTTGGGTGCTGAGCACACCCTATTATTTTCCATAGGTGCTTGAACCATAGAGCACCAAGAGTTGGTGTCAATGCTAAAATGAGAGCTTTCCACAAATACAAAATCATTTCAAAGAAAGCATTCAAATTCAGACTCACCTTATATTGTCTTGTAAATGTGCTATTCTTTTTCCCAGAAATACTGACTCGCATGCTAATTAGAAGACATTCATGTGCCTTGTACAAGACCCTATTTAAAGAGAGAGTTTAATAGAAGTAAATAGTTAAAAAGGGATAGAGAATAAGATGGAGAATATCGTATTGCCTCTATATAAAACCATGATATGCCCACGTGTACAGATGTGGTCTCCTCACCTCAAAAAAAATATTTGCATTGGAAAAGGTTCAGAAAATTTGAAAAAATATATATATTGGCATTGGAAAAGGTTCAGAAAATTAGAACAAAATTGATTAGGGATTTGGAACAGGTCCCATATGAAGAGAGACTAAAAAGAACGGGACTTTTCAGCTTAGAAAAGAGGAAACTAAGGGGGGATATGATAGAGGTCTATAAAAACATGACTGGTGTAGAAAAAGTAGATAAGAAAAAAGGTCCATCAATGGCTATTAGTTAGGATGGGTAGGAAAGGTGTTCCTAGCTTTTATCTGTCAGAGGCTGGAAATAGGTGACATGGGAATAGGAACGATGTCCCTAGCCTCTGTCTGTCAGAGGCTGGAAATGGGCGACATGAAAGGGATCAAGTGAGGATTACCTCCCTCTGGGGCATCTGGCATTGGACACTGGTAGACAGTATGGCCGTTCTTATAATCATACGTTATAAAGTCCCCATAAGAGAGTCTTGAAGAAAAGGTAATAAAATAACAATTTATGTTCCAGTGTTAGAGGCCTTTGTAAACATAACAAACAGAAATACCAATTACTTCCTTGTACAAAGTACAAAGATCAGTGCTGCTAGAACAGGAATTTAACACTTCATTCACCTGAGACTTCAGGGTGATTTCTGTACACAAGTCTTGGTTAACTAGATTGTAAGACACCAGGGTTAACACACTGACCTTTACAAGAACACACCGCACTATAGACGACATCGCGTTCCCCCTTCATACTGTGATGCAAACTGGGTTCTCAGAGCAGGTACATTCCAATTTCCCAAAATAAGCAAAGCCCCTCCCCCATCACCCTGAGGGCTGTCTTTAGCAAATAGTCCCTCCACTACCACTCTCAGGGTATGTGTACACTACATGGCTCTGTTGACGGAGCCATGTGGATGAGGGTTGTAGACATAGCAAAATGAAGCTGCAATTTAAATAATCACCGCTTCATTTACATCAAAATGGCTGCTGGACTGAAAGGGGCAGTTTGTACCCAGCAGCCCCAGCCCAGATGGTCTCTCCCCTCCACACCCTCACCCCTTACGGACCCCCAGCACACCCCTTCATACTGTGATGCAAACTGGGTTCTCAGAGCAGGTACATTCCAATTTCCCAAAATAAGCAAAACCCCTCCCCCATCACCCTGAGGGCTGTCTTTAGCAAATGGTCCCTCCCCCACCACTCTCAGGGTATGTCTACACTACATGGTTCCATTGACGGAGTCATGTAGATGCCAAGTTGTAGACATAGCAAAATGAAGCGGTGATTTAAATAATCACCATTTCATTTACATCAAATGGCTGCCGCGCTGAGTGGTGGGCAGTAAGTGATGTGGGGGTGAGGGAGGGGCAGTGAGTGATTTTGAGGTAGGCTCGATAAATGTTTTTGAAATGTGTTTACAATGGGCAATACATTATTTAAGGCAAGGGGCAAGAAGTGATTTCTAGGGACAGGGAAGGGGACTTGGACTGTTTTGTGAAGAATATGTGTGTGTCTCAGGCACCTGGAAAATCACTATAGGCCTAAGTGATGTGGGGGTGAGGGAGGGGCAGTGAGTGATTTTGAGGTAGGCTCGATAAATGTTTTTGAAATGTGTTTACAATGGGCAATACATTATTTAAGGCAAGGGGCAAGAAGTGATTTCTAGGGACAGGGAAGGGGACTTGGACTGTTTTGTGAAGAATATGTGTGTGTCTCAGGCACCTGGAAAATCACTATAGGCCAAAGGTCAGAATTTGGCGCCCAGGATGATTGCAGGGAGGGATGAAACTTACATTAACATTCCCTAAAGCCCGCGCTGTAGGTGGTTCATCATTTAAATGAGCCAATGGGAGATGCCAAGATGAGCAATGTGCGCTAAGCCTGAATTCATTCAGAGGCAGTTGCCTAAGCACAGAGTGGCTTTGTAGTCAGGATTTATTGATGACTACTGGGGTGACTCTCCCCTCCACACCCTCACCCCTTACAGACCCCCAGCACCATAAAAGCTTTCCTCTTTTTATGCTTAAAGATTGTGAAGACTATTTGATAAAAAACGTCATGATGTACTCATGAGGGATAATAATATATCTCAGTTTTGTCTCATTTCAATTATAATCTTTCATTTCACAATAACCGGAAAGAACACCTTTAAAAATCAAACATTTGGATTTTTATCTCTCCCACTTTCTCCTTTCTCCTCTTTTGCCACTGAATGCAATAGTTTTACTGAGTGAGGTCTAAGACTTGTTTACTTCTTTATCCTCCCCCTCCCCCTTTTTTTGTCTAAACTCTCCAATTTTGGGAAAGTAACAGAAAACTAAAAGGAAAGAAATGAAAAGAAAAGTAAACAGGAGAAAACTGACAGAAAGTGAAAGAAAACCAAAAAAAAAAAAAAGGCGGGGGAGGGGGAGGGGAGGAATGGAATATTGTGGTGGCTGAGGTTATGTCAACATTACTGGGGTTTTTTCAGATAGAGGTATGCAAAATGCACTCCACAGTTTGAATAACTTTTTCTGACTCTTTTTTCGGAAGAGGCTTTTCTAAAATTTCGCCCATCTACACAGGGGCCAAATTTCAGAAAAACCTCCTCTTGAGGAAGAGCCCTCATTCCTCGTGAAATGAGGTTTACAGGGCTTCCAAAAGAGTGCATCTGCTATTCCAAAAAAAAAATGTTGGAAGAGATCCAAAAAAAATGCTGGAAGACAGACACGTTCCCTGGATGTAGCAGAGTTTTTCTGGGATACATCCAATATCCCGGAAAAGCTCCGTAGTGTGGACATAGCCTGAAATTCCAGATTTAAACAAATTCTATTAAAATAAAAAAGTTATTTATTTCATTTTGGAATATTCCATGAAAAATCTAAGCCTTTCACACAAAAAAATGTTGTTCAAAATTTCCCATGGGAAACAAAAAAATTAGCCAAAAAAAATGCTGGAAGACAGACACGTTCCCTGGATGTAGCAGAGTTTTTCTGGGATACATCCAATATCCCGGAAAAGCTCCGTAGTGTGGACATAGCCTGAAATTCCAGATTTAAACAAATTCTATTAAAATAAAAAAGTTATTTATTTCATTTTGGAATATTCCATGAAAAATCTAAGCCTTTCACACAAAAAAATGTTGTTCAAAATTTCCCATGGGAAACAAAAAAATTAGGAATAGCCCTCATCTTCAGTCAATTGTAAAGCTTTCTTATGTACACTTCAAAATCCTACTCACTGCAAATAACTGTTGGGGGGTTTGGGGGAGGGAAGGCTTTTGTTTGTTTTCCCAATTTCTTCCCCCATAAAGCTCCAAATACAACTGCCAACTAACAGCAGAGCAATGCTGTTAATCCCCTGAAATATGCAGCACGCCCTCTGAAGAGTGAAATACAAGGCAAGAAAAATGCATAAGCCTCAATTTCTTCCCTTTCTCTTCTTTTCACCAGTCATCTTCAGTCAATTGTAAAGCTTTCTTATGTACACTTCAAAATCCTACTCACTGCAAATAACTGTTGGGGGATTTGGGGGAGGGAAGGCTTTTGTTTGTTTTCCCAATTTCTTCCCCCTTAAAGCTCCAAATACAACTGCCAACTAACAGCAGAGCAATGCTGTTAATCCCCTGAAATATGCAGCACGCCCTCTGAAGAGTGAAATACAAAGCAAGAAAAATGCATAAGCCTCTATTTCTTCCCTTTCTCTTCTTTTCACCTGCAGATCCATAACTACCTACATATCCCATGCAGGTACAGCACCCTAGTTTATTTTACACAAATATATACTTTCTGATCTCCAGTAACTAAAGGAGAGTATTTCTGATTACAAGTTTCCTCCTTCAAAAAAAATGAAGCGCCTGCCTCCCTTAGCATTATAATATTAAATCCACCTTTGTGTAATACCTCTACTCCCTCAGCATGAACCAGTTAATATAGATATGATAGTCCAAACTCTATATTTTCACAAAACACATTCTGAGTAAATGCCTCCATTTTATGAATGAATTTCAGTATTTTCTCACCTTCAGTTATGAATGAAAACATCCCTGCAAAGTATCAAAGCTTAAATTGCAGTCATTCCAATTGTTCCAGAAACAAGAAGTAACATTTAAAAATCCAAAATGTACAGTAAACATACAAAACATATTTAATAGATCACTTCTCTGGAGTAAAACATTCACACACCACGATTTTGTGTACTCACCTCAGAACTCTCTTTGAAGCCACAAGTAAGCCCGCCAAAATCCGTTGGACATGGGCAAAGGGCAATTGTATGAACAAACACAAAAATGGGAGGGAACTAAAAGTGAACGAAAGAATAAGTGTGTGTGTGTGTGTGTGTGTGTGTGTGTAAGTAGAAATTGCACTCTACTCCATCTAGGTACACTTTTGAATACCAGAATTAATGGATCCCTATGATCTGTACACAGGGGCTCCATCTATATTACAGGGCTTTTGTACAAAAATGGCTGTTTTTGTGCAAAAACCCACAGAGCATCCATACCTCAAGCCCATTTTTGCGCAAGAAAATGTATAGTGAATCAATAGAGCAGAGGGCTTTTTGCGGTGTAAGTATACCTCTTTCTACAAGGAATAACTCCTTTTTGCACAAGAGCTCTTGTGCAAAAAGGTGTGTGTCGACACTCAGCAGAGGGTTTTGCATAAGAATTGACCTCCAGGGGGAAAAAAAAGGTGGCCTCTTGGCCACTCAGTCCAAGTTCATCACAACTCTATAGTTCCTGTCTGCTGGTCCCCCTTAAAGCTGCAGGCACTCTGGATAAGCCTTGCAGCAGGAAGTTTGCAGGGAGCAGGTGCCTTCACCACACAGCTCTGCTTCTGCCACAAATGGTCTCACAGCAAACTCCCTGAGACACCCCTGGCCCTTCCAGGGGGATGAAAAGGCGTGTCACTACTCAGTCTGGACCTGAAATTGCCATCCTCCTCAAGTTGTGGGGCAAGGAGAAGTCGCTGCAGGATCCCCAGGCCAAGCACGGCAATGCAGAGATCTTCTCCTGCATGGCCATATCCCTGGCAGAGCAATGTCACCCTCCCTGGACCATGGAGCAAGTCTGGACAAAGGTGAAGGCGTTCCATCTACACTGAGCTCCACCACATCTTGGGGGGTGGGGAAATCTCTTGGTCCCCCTCTCCCATCATGGTGGACTCAGGGTTGGAAACCCTAGTGGTCGTGTGCCTGGAGGTCGCCCCCGAGGAGGAGCTGAAGGGCCAGGTCCAGCCCCAGCCAGAGGAGGAAGAGCAGGAGACAGGGAGTGTCACCTTGAGCTGGTCCCTGCCAGCCAGGACCTCTCCCAGGCCTCCTCAGAATCCTGGGAGGGATCTTCGGGTTAGTGGGTTCACTTTCTCACACACACAGTGCGAGGGAGTCGGTCGCACAGGGAGCGGGGGGCACAGTGTAGCTTGGGATCCTCAGCACATGGGTGCAGCACGTGGGCACAGCAGCCAGCCCCTGAACATGGCCAGGATCTTGCTGCCAGCCTCATGAGTGAGCATATTGTCCTGCCCCCAGTAGGGAAGGGGGCACACCCAGCTGCAAGCAGGCTAGCTGCAAGGGTGCAGGCATGACCCCCTCGCACAGAACACAGGCATGCCTGCACGAGGTAGCAGCCACTCCCACAGACAGCCCAGCGAGTCGCATTGTGTGGTGGGCAAAAAGGTGTGTGTCGACACTCAGCAGGGAGGGCCAGGCTGCTCACAGCTCCTTAGCCGCCCATGAGGGCATCCCACTGTGGCTGCACATTTCCCTTGCCTGCCTGGCCGTGGTGTGTGCGTGGGGGCGGGCGGAGAGGGAGGGAAGAGGACAGCACAGTTCTCTGCCCTATCAGGGCCCATGTGGGACAGGGTGTGCTGTGCTGGCCACACATGGCCTTGCACCAGGACATCCCCCTCCTGCGGGCCGTGGACTGATGAGGCCGCTCACACAGGAGGGCGCAGCCTGAGGTAATGTGTGTGCAGGGAGGGCTGACGACATCTCCCTTTTCTGTGTTCTCTACAGCCAGACCAGCTGGGTTGGAAGGTCCAGTCACACCACCACCGCACCCACCTGCCAGAGTCCAGGGGAGCCTCAGACGGGCCAGAGTGGTGGAGGAAATAATGCAGCTACATGTCGGCGTCATGTACAACATTCATGACACCCTGTCATGCAGGCTCAATGCAGACACTGAATGGCGGGAGCGTGCATGCACCAAGATGATGTCACGTTGCGACAACATCTATAACATCCCGTCCTGCATGGGGGAACACCCGCCCGATTCCGCTGTTCCTGACTTCCACCCTCCTGCCCCCCCTCTGATGGCCCTTGCCCATGCGTCTGCCCACAATACTATGCCTCTTCTCACTCCCCATGCCATGCCTCTGCTTCCTCCCTTTCCAGTGCCCATGCCCCATCCCCAAGCGATGCCTGTGGCCCCTCCTACTGCCCGCCTTGCCCACCCCACCTTTACCCCACTCTGGATGCCTCTCCTGCCCAACTCTTTCTGGTCCCCAGACCCACCCAACCCAAAGAGGTCCCTGCACCCAAGGTGGCAGCACAGGCCGCCCCACTACTCCTCTCAGTCCTGATCCCCTCTCCTAGTCCAGACATTTCCCCTCTCCCTGCCCACCTTCTCTTTATGTTTAATAAAAAAAGACTTGTTTTGTTTTGAAACAAAACAGGTGTATTTATTGGGAAAGGTGTATTTATAGGAAAGGGGCAAAGGTGGGGAGGGTTAAGAGGGAGGAGAGAGACCAGAAAGGCAGATGCCCCTGTTGGGGAGGCCCTGGGGAGAATTACTGGGGAGACCTGAGAGAACCTCTCCCTTAGGGCCTCCCGGATGTGCACCTCGGCCTGATGGCATTTGCCACCCACTCTTCCCCTCTTCTGCGAGGGTCCCCATGGGTGCTCCACCTTAGGTGATTACAAATCAGTAGTTGTGTTAGGAGCTTTGGAGTGTATAAGTCTGCAATCAAGAGCATTGTTTTGCCAAACTTCATTTCAGAGTCTGCAAATGTCTGGATGGCATCGTGCTGAGTGAATGTATGTGTAGATGCCCGTGTCGCAGCCTTGCACATTTGTTCCATTGAGACGCCTCTTGGGAACACAGTTGTGACTGCCATGGCTCTTGTGGAATAAGCTCTTATGTTGGGAGTTGGCTCCTTTTGTGCTAATTTTACGTTAAGCATATGCAGTTCGATACTCATTTTGATAATCTTTGTTTTGATATGGGTAGTCCTTGTGACCTTTCTGTCATTGAGATAAACAGTCGTGGAGATTATCAGAAAGGTTTTGTGCACTATAAGTAAAAGGAGAGTGCCCTGCGGATGTCCGAGATATGATATGCCTCCTCCTTTTGGTCTTTAAGGTTTCAAGTAGAAAACAGATAAGTGTATTGGTTCATTTCAATGGAATGAGGTAAGTAATTCTGGTATAAATTTTGGGTGTATTCTCAAAACTACTTTGTCTTTGTGGAATGTGGTGTATGGCTGGTCTGACATGACGGCCCCCAACTCTCCTATGCACCTTGCAAAAGTAATCACAAGAAGGAAGGCCACCTTCATTGAGAGGTGTAACAAAGAGCATGTAGCTAATAGCTCAGAAGGTCTGCCTATGATCCTTTTTAGTATGAGATTTAAGTCCCATGCAGGCACTGGGTTCTTAAGTGGTGAATACATGTTTGTCTCTAAGCTATGCAGGAACCTCTGTGTATAAGAAGAAATTACTCACCTTGTGCAATAACAAAGGTTCTTCGAGATGTCCTGTAGGGTACGTGTACATTGCACGATTATTTTGAAATAAGCTTTTTGGAATAGTTCAGGGGAGACTCAAAATTAGTCAGAGGCAGGCTTCCCTAATGTAGATGTGCTATCTCAATTTAAAGTGTCCAGGAGGAATAACTTAGAACGGCCCTGGTGAGGGGCTATTTTGAAATAGAAGTGGAGCATCTACACCAGTGGTCTCCAACTTTTTTACACCCAAGATCACTTTTTAAGTCTCAGAACAGGCGAAGCTCTACCGCCCCGCCCATTCCTTGAAGCCCTGCCCATTCCTTGAAGCCCCACCCTCTCTATTCTCCTGTCCATCACTTGCTATCCCCAACCCTTATACACTCTGTTAAACAATTTTTAAAATTATGCAATATATAAAATTAAAATCACATGTTTATAGTTATGAAATAAATGGTCTATTTTTAATTCATGCTATATAAATGTCAAATGAAGCATTTACAATTATACATTTTGTTCTCTGCTATTTTGTAAATCTAAAATCAAGTATTGATAATTATATATTTTTTCTTCCAATAACAAAGTCTCAGTGTGACACCTGTGACTGAACAGTATCTGCCAGTGTCTTGAAGTCTGGGTTGTAGTCTGAGATTGCTAGTCGTACACAGTCCATCAGATGGGCATCTGTGATCCTGCGCTCAGCCTGGGAAGCTTGCTCCAGCACAGC